GGGGGGGTGTATTCAGGAGCGAATCACTTCCACTTCCCCCACCCCAGGCCCCTGGGCTCTGTTCATGGGGCTTGGATTCCTTTGCTCCCCCATGCCCAGGGCATGGGTTTGGTGGACAACCGGGGCAGGGGAATATGGACCAATGGAGCATGGGGTGGGGGTGGGGATTTTCACTCCTCCCTTGGCCAGGTCTGTTCAGGGGAGGGGAAGGTGGGCGGGCAGCCCTGTGGTATGCAGGGGGCTACAGGACCCCTTCCCTGCTGACTTCTCCCATGCCCTCCCCAGGAGAGCTGTACATCGGGGGCCTGAGCAAGAACATGTTCAACAACCTGCCCAAGCTGGTGGCCTCGCGGGACGGCTTCCAAGGCTGCCTAGCCTCTGTGGACCTCAATGGCCGCCTGCCTGACCTCATCGCTGACGCCCTGCATCGGATCGGGCAAGTCGAGAGGGGTTGTGATGGTAAGAGAGTCCCCTCGCTGCCCAGAGCCCACACAACCCTAGCAGGGAGAGCTGTAGGGAGCAGGGCAGGAGTGCTGACTGTGGAGGGAGCTTCCCACTCCAATCCCAGCCTTTCCCACCAGGGGGTGCTGTATGCTCAGACAATACAGGTCTCCCCATTCCTAGTGCTCCAACCAGAGACTCCAGCTTCTCTCCTGCTGATAATGGGGATCCAGCCTCAGAAGCCAGAGGCTTCTAGCACAGCCCCTCTGATGGGGGGATCAGAGAGTTGCAAACACCTTAATTAGCAGCCAGCTACCACCCTCACCCCAGTGTTATCTCGCTCATCACATGCGGCCTCCTGTCAGCAATGGGATGGAGGGGCTGCCAGGGACACCTCCCTTACAGGCTCTGGCTTTGCTCCCTCCGTCACCGCATACCTCACTTGCCATTGCTGCCTCCTTCCCCCATCCCTAGTGTAAGGTGCCCAGGCATCTGAGAGCTCTCCCAGCTCTGGGGGGAGATGGGGTCCACTGGTTAGAGTGTGAGGCGAGCAGGGGGATCAAGGGGCCTCTGTTCCATCCCCAGCTCTGCCCCAACTTGTTGCAGATTTCCTCCTCTCTCTCACCTGATTCTTTTCCATAGTTTTTGGCCCCAGCCTCTGTCCCAAAGGGCTAGGGGAGCAGCAGCCAGAGCCAGGCCTATAACCCAATTCCGGCCCTTTGCCCCCAGGCCCGAGCACCACCTGCACCGAGGACTCATGTGCCAACCAGGGCGTCTGCCTGCAGCAGTGGGACGGCTACACATGTGACTGCACCATGACCTCGTACGGAGGCCCCGTGTGCAATGACCGTGAGTGCTGGGATCCAGTGTGCTGGAGGAGCAGGGCATGGGATGCGTGCATGCCTGACTAGGGAACGGGGAAGAATCCATGAAGGGGCAGCTGTGTGCTAGGGTGGGTAATAGGGGGCAGGGGGAAGGATTGTGCTGAGCAGGGTGGTGTGCCGGGAGGGGGTAGGAGCTTGCGGAGGGAAGCTGCAAGCTAGAGGATTGCAGGGGCCAGGGTGGGGCACTCACGCTGTGATTCTGCGAGTCTGAAGGATTGGGGATAGGTGGATGGAATGGGGGTGCTATATGCCCAGGGAAGGGGTGGGAGGAGGACCACACTGGGGATGCTGTGAGCATCAAGAGGCCAAAGGAGCACTCACATGCGTAAATGGCTTTGGCCTGTCTGGGGACTGTGAGTTGACTGTTCTCCGCAGAGACCCTTGAACTGACGAAATTTGGGGAAGCCACAGGCTGTGGGCCGGGGTTGCACTGTGATTGTGGCATTGAGCCTTTGGGCTGGGCCCAGAAATCACAAGGATACCAGAGGGCGGGACTGTGTGCCAGGGCAGCCCCACAGGTGTCAGAGCTGTGGGCCATGTCAGTATCATGGACTAGCTGGCACTATAGGACAAGTGGGCATTATGGGCTTTGTCCTGGGGTCCTTGGCCTGGTCCAGCTATATAGAGTGGGTCCATGAGGGTGGATTGAGGGGTTGGGTAGGTCCATAGACCTGGATCCATGGTTTGGTTCGGGTCTGTGGGTGGACCTGGACAGCAGAGTCTGTGGGGTGGATCCATATGTTGGGTTGGGATTGTGGGGCAGATCTATGACGTGTGTGATTTGGGCAATGAACTGAGTCTGTGCCTCAAACATGCCTTTTGCAATGGCTTCTCAGCGTGGCCCTCAGCTGGGCCAGGTGGGGACCGATCCAAACCCACAGGCAGCCCCCGAAGGAGAGCCTGGCATGGGGAGTGGGGCTGGGATCATAGCTATGGGGAGGGATGCCCAGCTGGGTTGGTAGTGTTGGGGGCTCTGCCCACTGGTAATGGGGTGGGGCATGTACGAGGGGTGCTCATTGGCACTGCATAGTGGGCAGTTGAGCATGGTGTGTCCTAGCTGTGCTCTTGGCCCAAGCCATCAGCTGGACATCTGACGAGCCTCCAGGAATTCCCGTTCCCTGCATCATCCTCTCCCTCTGCAACTCCATCCTCCCCCCACCCTCTGCACCGGACATTGCAGATTGGTGTTGTGGCATGGATGTGAGAGGAAAAATACATTCCGTGAGGGAGGGAGTGTAAAGGGGAGTCAGGCAGGGATGGGGTAAAAACAAAGCCTTGGCTAAGGAATAGGATCTAGTCTGTAACATGCAACAGTGCCCCTTCAGGAGTGGGTGAGCCCTGCTCTGCATGTGGGCATGTGCACTGTCTCCAGGGAGAGAGTATTTGCTGCCCCTTTGTCCAGGGGGTGAGCCCTGCTCTGTGTATATTTGCTGGTTTGACTTTTGTCTCACTCCCATGGCATCTTAGGCTGTAGCCTGGGGTGCATGGGGTTGATGCCATTGTTCTAAATGATTGATGGCTTTGGAGAATGATTAAACAACTAAATTCAGGTGCCTGTGGCTTTTGTAACTGGCTGCCCCTGAACTGTTGACAGCACCAGAGGGGGGTTGTGTGTGATTGTATCTTTGCACTAAACCCTCATTGCTAATTTCAATAAATACAAATTATATTTTTGAGATACAGCCATGTTGGGGATCCCAAAATGTGCAAGGAGGTGAAAGTGGCAAAGCCAGCTGGAGTACTTCATTTCAATGCGAGGGAGTGAAAGTCTGAGTGAGAAAACAGCGAGAACGTCCCAGCCCCTTCACAGGGCGGGTGTGCTGGGCACTGCAGAATGTGAGAGGGGTTTAAATGGGGCGTAAAGGTGACCAGCTCTCTCTCTTCTTTGCAACAATGTGGAAACCAGGGCGGGAGTGATCATAAAAAGGACCATGCACCTAGTGTAAGTGGGGACTGGGACCATTATTGGTGAAATGGGCTAGCAAAAGGATCTGAGTCCTCGCTCTCACTTCCTTTACCCAGAGGCCTCCCTGACCTGAGAATTCCTCTTCTACTTTACTGCATGGTAGGGTCCTTGTAACCCCAACAAGGCTGGGCCCAGGATTCCTGGAGGGCTCAACCCCCAGACTTATTCAGGAGACTTAAGTCAGGGGCTATGATGTCCCCACTTCAGGGTGCTCTCTGTTCTCTGGCCGCTTCCTTGGCCCACTCATCATTCCATACACTTCAAAGCAAATACAATTTACTAAACAGCAACCAATTTAAAAAAGAATAAAGAAAACATGGGAGAAGTTAAAGGAAACTTGTAACCCTGCTCTGTGGGCATGGGAACATCACAACCAGCCATCTCTGGAATGTAAGGGAAGTTCACAGTCTGTGCTTCATGGCCCAGGCCCAGGCTTTGCTGCAGGTGAGGTGCGTCTATGCAGCAGGGCTTAATCACCCCAGGCCCAGGCTGTGCTGCAGGTGAGGTGCGTCTATGCAGCAGGGCTTAATTCAAAATAAGCTATGCAAATTGAGCTATGTCCATTGCATGGTTTATTTCAAAATTGGGAGCATCTACACAGCACTTATTTCGAAATAGAGTGTTCTTCCTCCGACTTCCCTTACTCCTCGTACAATGAGGGTTGCAGGAGTCGGAGTAAGAAGTCCTCCAGCTTGACAGTATTTTGACACTATTTTGAAATATATGCCTGCTGTGTAGACATGGACGACGTTACTTTGAAATAACGCTAGTTATTTGAAATAATGTTGCTGTGTAGACATACCCATGGTTGCCACACACCTTCAGGATCTAGGTGTCAGCCCTCTATTGGGGTTATCCCCCTCTATGTGTGGCCTACAAGATCTCCTGGCTGCGGTGTCACCCTGTGCTAGACCATCTAGCTAGGGTCCCCCACCCCTTGCTCTCCCTAGTTGCTCATCACATATGGCTCCAGACTGCTTCAGCCCCAGCTCCACTGTGCCTCAGCATGGATGCTGCTCTGCCTCCAGCACCCTGGGACTGCTTCTCTAGCCCCTCTGGCTCTGTCTGGTACAGGTCTTTTCCTAGCACAGTTCTGCTCTTCGGGCTGCTTCTGCACCTCTGCTCGCAGCACTGACCAGCTTCCTGGGCTGCTTCTCTGGCTTTTGTTGCTATGACCCTGCTTCCCGCCCTGAGCTGTGCTTTGACTGCTTGTTCATGTTGATTCCAATCAGGTGCACATACTCTACATGCATGGACATTGGAAACTTTCCCCTAGTCAGGTGCACGTACTCTACATGCATGGACATTGGAAACTTTCCCCTAACAGCTCCCATTGGGCCAGCTGTAGAGCCCCCTAGACTGGTGCCTTCATGGCGCTCAGTGTATGACCCTGCCAACCTGACCCCCTCTTTAGTTCCTTCTTACCATCCATGATGGCGTTGGAACATGGCTCACTTGCTCACAAGTGCTTCCTAGCGTCACAGTTTGTAGTTAGAGTTGTTAGTTTTCTTCTTCTTAGTAGTTCCTAGTTCTGGGCAGCCGGGATCGTTCTGTCCCCCACTTGCCTGGGGCTCACCACAGGCCCAGGACTTCTAGGCTTGTGGTTCCTGCTGGAAGCCGATGCCTAATAGTAACCCCCATGACTCCTGCTTATGCTGCAGAGGGAAGCTCATCAATCAGAGCACTGCCAAATTTGCAAGGCTTTCTAGCCTCACATGAAAAAAGAAAGCGCAACCTCTGATGGGAGCCACCCTTAGACCTGCAGCACCTGGGCTAAGTTCCTCGGTGTGGAGCGCCCCAGGATCGGCTGGGAAAAGGCGCGCAGAAAGGACCCAGTAAAGGAGCCCCAGAATCCTAACTCATCGGCAGAGCCACAGCACCACTCAACATCACTGGTGCTGCTCAAGTGCCACAAAAGGGGAGACAGGCCACTCCCCACACAGACCTGCTAGACGCCTAGTGGCCAGAGAGTCCGCAGGCAGGATTCAGCCACTAAATAACATTAAGCACCACCACTGATCCCAGTAGCCCAAGCACTGTTGAGTCTGGCACCAGCTCCCCTGCCATTCAGGACCTGGTGGAGGTCTTGGAGCCACCCTCAAAACCAGACAGGTTTGAGGAGGCCAGAAATTCGATTGAGTTAACGGTGCTTCCCGTAGCAGCAGACAAGGACAGGCCTGCTGCACCGCCCACACAGGTGCTGGTGAGAGACAAGCCTGCCTTGTTGCGGTGTTCCCCATCCACAGACCAGCACTTTCCAAGACACTGTTCCAGGTCCCCATTGTCTTGGCATCGCTCACTGGTGCCTGTGGTAATGCAGACATGCATGGGACTGGTGCAGGTGTTGCCACACTCCCCAACACTGAGCGGCCGCCACTGGTCCTAGTCTGAATCAGAAGAGTGGCACCATTACTCAGCACCGGACTCCAGAAACCACTTCCCAGCACCACGGAATGGGCACTGTTTCTGGTCCCACAGTAGTAGGCACCGGTCCCCGGCCTCTTCTTCACTGCTAAGCAACAAGAAACAGCACTGACCACCTGCTCATTGGCACCACCATGGTCCTCTCCCTCCAGGTCTTCTGTGCCGGAGACTGAGTCAGCCAACTCCAGGAGTGGTAGGCTTCAGTCAAGCAGGCACAAGGGAGAGCCCCATATGGCCTGCCAATGCCAATGGCCACCACTCAAATAGTGGTCCTTTTGGACCTACTGGGTGTGACACCAAACCCAGGGCATCCCCTTCATGGGTTCCAGTTTGGCAATCTTAGCAGGTCACCACCTCAGGTCACCTGGGATGACCCCCCCACACCACATCCAGCAGAGGCAATTAATGCTAAGCCCACAAGTCATGACTACAGGTACAAGCAGGATCCAATAGGTGCCTCCGGTTACCAGGACCTTGACACTCACTGGACAGCCAGCATGGGGATATGCAGGAGTCAGGTCCTGTGGAGGTACCGGATTACCCAGTTCTTCCTGCTCAGCTCCTCTTTCTCCTCT